ACCTTCTAGCTGTGAGGCGACAGTGAGAGGTTAAAGACAGATGAAACTGGTCTCACACTACAGACTGTTGAAGTTTAAGGTGTAATATTATCAGGAAGTATTCTGTCTGTATGATGCTGCAGGAAACAGCAGCTGAAGAACTGACAGTAAAAACAAAGATGGATGTGGTTTGAAAAGCAGCCACAGTTTCTGGTTGATAAAAGGTGTGGTGATGGTGATGTTCTGACATCTGTTTCAGAGCCTTCTGCAGGTTTCAAGTGGTCCTTTGTGTGTGCCGATGGTGAAGCACTTGTCTTTTTGTCGCTCTGTGTCTTTGCAGCTCAGCGGCGCTTCGGCGCTGCAGCGGGCTTCAGGCTCGGACTGTGGTCCAGCAGTGCAGCACGGCGAAGGTAAAGATCCGGCCAGCTCTGGACGGAGGCGAGCCTCAGTGGGCCGAGGTGGGGCTTCAATCACGTCTTCTCAGTCAGTAGTCAATCACCAACAGTTACAGAATGAAAGCTGGTTCTCAGAATCAGCTGTAAGGACTTTTACTTTAATAGAGCACAGGTCCAACATTTCAGGTAAAACTAAAGATCAGGTCAACGTGGTTTAAAAGTCCAAGAACTGTACATTAGCACACTGTGTTGCTAAAACCAGCAACCATGAAGCCCATATTTATTTATTTAGCCCATATTTACTTGGAAAATGACTGAAGCCATCAATCAGACAGGTGAATGAATAACGGTGGGGGGTCCTAACGAAGGAATTACAAAAATACTAATAAACTATTTCTTTGTTAACAAGTGATTGTAAAGTTAAAACAGGTTGTGATTCGTTTGCTAATTAGCGAGTCCATAAAGAAACGGTCTACATGACAGAGTCGTCGGTTGTTTGATATTGTTAACGGGCAAAAAAAGATTTTACAAATGAGATCAGTCGATGGTTTGGATTAAGACAGTCATTTAAAAACACTTGAATGATTCAGATGGTGGAATGTAAATGCTGTCGCTGTGTTTCTTATAGTTTGACTGTTCCTGTGTTTCTGACGTTTGATTATTTGTACAAACCTTATTTCTGTCAGATCCAGGAAGGAATCGTTGTGTACGTTTGCTTTTTCCACGGAGCCACTGAAGACGTCACGCATCAAATGGGTCAGTTCGTCTTCAGCTTCTCCATCCAGCTGATGTGATTTAACCTTTATCGTTAACCCTTTATCAAAGCAAAAGTGGATTTTCTTGCTTGGATTCAAGAATGTGCTGATAGTTTTCTGGACATGAACAGTTTATTGCTGTTATTGTCGTCATGACATTTATTTCAGTCCACACCNACTACTGGTTAGCAGGTCATCTCATAGTGGGTTAAAAATCAGTTAACAGCAGCACAAGGAACTTTATGGAGTCACTGGTCCTCCCCAAACAAGAACTGCCACGTAGCCGCCTCTGAACCATTCTGATGAAGATTCATCGACTTCCATTTGAGGACAGTTTTCAGCAGCCTGAGGCCTCGACTTCTAACATGAACCGCTGTGGACACCACGACACACTGTTCTTACTGTGCAGCTTCTAGTCCGCCTGAAGAATGCTGTTCTTCACATGTGCAGTAGATCTACCTATTCTGCACAAGCACACGACTTCAGAGCACGTGATCCACGGGACTGCAGCGGAGCCTTACGCTACACAGCAGAAGTGTGTAAAGACTGAATAAACAGATGCAACCTGCTGGAGTATGGAGTCCGTTTTAGAACAGCTGCACACCTGCAGTGTCTCTAACTGGTGGCATTTATGTCCACAAGGGGCTTGATCAAGAGGGTTAAAGTATAGAGCTGCAAGAGAACGAGTCTGAATAACAGCTGCTGTCCACGTTCAGGCACCGACAGACAGTATGTGCCTTTCCATAAAACATTTCTGCCCCGTGTCACCCTGCACTGACCTGCTGGCTTCAGGCATAATCCAAACCCAAACTATCAGGGAGCTGCTGGACCTCATCCAGAGACGTAGTCTTTGTTGTTGAAAAGTTGCAGAGCTCAGTTACAGATCCAAACATCCACAAAGAGACACAAAAGGAGCAAAACGCTGGAATAATGTTACCAGCATGTTTGTAACTCTGACCAACATGGCTTCTGTTTGTAGAACAGCAGTGTGACATGAACAGATGATCAAAATAGCATCATTTTAAAAGCAGAGTTTTGCAAGTTAGAGTCCCAGCATGTTTTCTGAAATATTCAGCTGCTTAGTTTTAACCCAAGAACGTGGAGCAGTGCCTCTTCCATGATGTGGTCCAAAACCAGAATATTTGCTCCATGTAGCTCTGCAGTGGGCTCATTTACGTGCAAATATATATTTACAATCAGAAAATCCATTTATCTCTATGGTAACTGTAGAGCTGTATCACCAAAAGCATCACAGACACAAGGTTTATCTTATTGATAAGAGCCTTTTAGTTTTTACATGACTTCATAGCTGCTTAGTTGATTGGATCAAACTGCAAGTGCTGACCGTTTTTCCTGAGTTTGGAAAACTGCACACATTTATCACCTGCAGAAAAATCACATTTTAATCCTTTAGGATGGTTTAATTCAACTTATTTTACCTCCACCTCTTCTTGTTTTGTTGATTGATGGTTAAACCTTTTAATTCTCTATTTGTTATCAGTGGCTGAATAGTTTAATTGCCATTCTCTACGTTTCTCATTTGTGTCCCTTCACCTTGTGTTAATGTTTTACACAGCTAGATTATACATGAACATATATTCCTCAGCGTGTTCTGAGTTTAAATAAAGATTGAATTGAACCCGCCATGCTGCCTTTTAATTCCAGATAAACTCCATCCTGCAACGGTTCCACGACAACCAAGGTCACTATGGTCAAGGAGTCTGCCAGCGAGAGATCTCCAAACATTTCTACTGGGCCAGTATGAGCCGCGACCTGTCCGCCTGGATCTCCAACTGCAACACCTGCCTCACCAGGTGCAGGAGGAAATGCCTGCGCTGCAGCGTCTACAGCTGCAGCAACTGCTGCGGGCCAGTGGAGCGAGGCCTCGGACTCACCTTCCACAGGTAACAGTCTGGGACTCACCTTCCACAGGTAACATTCTGAGACTCACCTTCCACAGGTAACAGTCTGGGACTCACCTTCCACAAGTAACACTTCACCAGGTCAGGCAGCAGAAACATAGAACCCAGAGATGAATGAGGCAGTAAATGAAGAGTCTTGAAACTAAAATGAAAGGATTTCTAATCAACACGACACCGAACTTGATGCCTTCCTGAGGAGCTTTGTGTTCCTTTGTACTTGACCTTCTGCTAAGATCTGAGCTTTTTGGTTTCAATTAGTGTTGTTAATTACCAGTAAATTGAATTCAGTGGATGATGCAGGTAGGGAATGTTTTCTCAAGTGGTAACCTTTGAGTTTAGTTAGTTTTCTTTCCTCATATTATAGGTTTCTTATGTATAATACTGTAGTGTATTATTCTTTTATTTTAAAATTAGTCAGGTCACTTCTTGCTATAGTGTAAAATATTGTAGATTTAGAACCTCAATGTTTAAACTTGTTCGGTAAATTCAGAACATTTATTTTATTTCTCTGGTGGGAAACACTTTGACTCCACATCTGTTGTTGTTTTTTTTTGTTTTTTTTTTTAAGTTATTTTTTTGGCCTTTGTGCCTTTATTGATAGTGCAGTGAGAGAGAGAGAGACAGGAAAGTAGGGGAGAAGGATGGGGGTAGGATGTGTGGGAAAGGGTCATGAGCGGGATTCAAACTCATGACCTCCACATCGGGACTGTAGCCCTGTACATGAGACGCCAGCTCAACCAGGTGAGCTATAGCCTCCACGTCTGCTGTTTGACATGTTCCGTATTAAAACCTTGAAAAACAAGTTTGTGAGAAATGAGCCGTTGCCTTCTACGTCTGCTCACGTCTTCATATTTGACCTTTTCTAAATGTACAGTGGATAGGGTCAGTGTGCTCATGTGTTATTAAATTGTTGTTGTTTATCACTTGGATGGATAAAGTGTTTGTATAGAATTAGATGTCGTGTGTTGTCTCTCACCTGTTGGTAATATATTTGTTCGGTAGGTTTCCTCTACACGATGCAGCCCTGCTGGCTCGCTGGCTGAAGGCCACCGGACGTTTGAACTGGCTTCCTCGGCTGCGGTCGTCCGTCTGTTCGACCCATTTCACCGATGACTGCTTTGACCGCCGCGGGGAGAAGGTGGTCCTCTATCCAGACGCCGTTCCCACGCTCATGGTCCACGGTGACTCGGTGAGATGCAGCACTTAATGAGGTAAACTGGTAAAAACCAGCATTTCCAACCTGTGTTTGGTCCACAGACGGCGTCCAGAGGTCCGAATCAGCCTGCAGGACAGGAGGAGGCGAGTAACCCTAACCCTATGATTCACGGCCTCCATGAAGCCTCAGAACGCTAACACCTGTTTGTATCTCCTTCTGCCACATCAGGCCTTCTTTTCCAAGTACGACGCCGTGGAGCTTTATCTGAGCAAGTGCACCTATCCGCCTGGACTGAACTACGTGGAGAAGAACACCTTCAGAAGGTTCTGCAAGAAATTCACCATTAAAGGTTTGAACACTTGTGAGCTGAAAACAATGCAGGTCTGATGCTTTTTCTGTGTCTGGATGTCGCAACAAACAGCCTTTTCTCTGAAATAAACTGACAAGTACAAATGATCTGCTGCTCTCGGTTCCATGTTTAATCGTATATGCACCACACTCTGCTTTTGATTTCTGGCTTTGTCAGTCCAGAGGTAACAGTACAGATCCATCGGTCTGATTACAGCTCTGTTCCTGTCAGTCCTGACTCTCACTTCATGTCTGCTGCTGTTCCAGACGGCGAGCTTCACTGGGTGAGAGGAGATCGGCTGCGTTTGGTTCTGAGGAGTCGGCAGCAGGTTGAAGCCGCTCTGACCGATTACCACGACGAGCTGAACCATCTGGACGCCAACAAGTGTCTGCGGCTGCTCAACGAGAGGTCCGTCTGCTGTTCACCTTCACTGCAGAGTTTCCATCAGCCTTGACCTCACGCCTGCTCTCTGACAGGTATTTCTGGAAGACCATGAAGTCCGACGTGGTTCAGTGGATCTCCGACTGCTTGCAGTGCAGCAGGAAGAAGAAACCAGAGATGCTGCTGCACGCGCTCAGATCTCCACCAATCAGGTGTGTCTGTCACAGCAGCACGTTTAAAACAGCTGGTCCAGCGCCGCCACCACAATAAAACGCTGTCTGGCTTTTTCTGTCAAGTGAAATTGTCTGTGTTTGTGTGGAGAGGAACTGGACGTCAGAGCTCTGGTTCTTTAATCAGAGCTTTCTATCTCAGGTCTTCATCGATAGTTTGAGCTGTTTCCTGTTTTTTCCAGTATTTTTAGCGACTGTTTCAACTATTGCATCCTTTTATGCAGCTATTTCGCCGTTCACCTGTTTGTTAACTATTCCTACAGTTTATTGATTGCTTTACTTTTAGCAATTTATTCTTTTATTTTATAGCTACTATTAAACTGTTCCAGCAGTTTGACTACTCCACTCATTTAATTCTGCCACCGTGTTTGCAGCAACCTTAATGTTATTTAATCATTTATCCATTTGCTAACTGTTTATTTGTTTATGTGATATAAGAAGGTAATCATTCTAGAATAACTCGTTTATCAGTGGTGGTTTTACTGTGTGCTGCTGTGCTCTGTGCATTTTGGCAGCGACAAAGACGACGAGACCGATGACGCTGATGAAGGTGACAACAGCGACGGCGATGCCGGCGGGAGGCCGACGGTGAATTCAGACACAGCGGTAAGTTTCTGTTCAGCTGATGGGGAACTCAGAGCTCATGCTTCTCTTTTGACCGTACCTTTTCCAGCTGTCTTCTAATTCTAATAACAGCAGCGTCCAATCAGAAGCCTTCCTCCATGTAAACAGTCACTCATAACGTTTAGCCTCACAACAGGTTAGCGACTGTTTCTAACAGGATCCTGAATCGACCATCCAGGAGGCGAACGAAGGTGTTTCCTGCTCAGAGTGAAGCTTCAGTGGACGACCACACACACACACACACACACACACACACACACACACACACACACACACACACACACACACACACACACACACACACACTCAGACATTTATTTATTTCTCAGTTTGCTGCTGCTTTTCCTTTGGTTTGGCTGAAACCTTTTTGGTGGCACCAGACATTCCTCTGTGTTCGGCTTGTGTTGGTTTTCTGCTACGTAGAATCTGTTTGTAATCGATCGTAGACACCAACAGCTGCAACAGAACGAGCTCATGTGTTGGATCCTACTTCATAATGAGGATATTTAAGTGTTAACTCATTGTGTCTTGTCTCAATCCAAGGACGGACCTCTGCCCCCCCACGCTGTAACTCCCATCAGCCCTCAGCCCAGAATTCCCATCCTCATACACCTGAGAACTCCCATCAGCCTCCAGTCCAGGACTCCCAGCTCCTCCTTTGTTGCCAGACTGTTGTCTAGCCAGAGAGCGACCCGGTCTGAAACCCAGAGCAGCTCTGAGAGCCACGTTCAGGTCAGACCTCGTTCAAAGGAGCCACCTGAAGACAAGAGAGAATCCAGCAGCTCCCAGTGTGTCCCACCTGCTGTCGGTTCTCCACCAGAGAAAACCCACCGTCCAAGTGGACCACAGACACAGATACCAGCACAGAACTGGCCTGGCGCCCAGCACCCAGCGATGACGCAGTCAGCGATGACCCAGTCAGAGACTGACTCTTCGGCGAAGAAGACTGATGGTCTTGAGCCCGTGGTCGTCCCAAGCACCAAACCCTGGCCGGTCTTCACCGTCACCGGTAACAGCCCGGCACCACCAGCCAAGCCGCCTGCTGAGGTGGACAGGTACGGACTCCCAGGAGGTCATCTTCACTGTCATGTAAAGTCCTGCATCTGTATGGAACCAGATCAGCCATGGAGGATCAGAACCAGGAGGAAGGTTCTGGTTCTGCAGGATCAGAACCAGGAGGAGGAAGGTTCTGGCTCTACAGAGTCAGAACCAGGAGGAGGAGAGTTCTGGTTCTACAGGGTCAGACCAGGAGGAAGGTTCTGGCTCTGCAGGGTCAGAACCAGGAGGAGGAAGGTTCTGGTTCTACAGGGTCAGACCA